AAATGGTCAAAAACATATCTCCATGTTTCTACTTCTTCAGGTAAGTACTCGATCCGAGGTATTGGTTCACCACTAAAATGGAGAAAGTTTTAGCCGATTTCACAAAATGGAAAAATAGAATGCTTATGGACCATTCAGCTAAGTGAGGTCGCTCGAAATAATAATCTACTGTGTGCTTTTGTAAAAGTTACTTCAATAAGCTGTCGATTGCATTTCAATAGCAGTGCTCTCATATGAAAAGCAACAGATTTTAATATTCTCAAAACGTTTATCATAAGTCAGGGAACGCTCTGGCTTCGAGTCTCTCTTGCTACAGAAAATAAATGCATTCAAATATCCTTAAAAATACACATTGACCAAGCCATTTAATTAATTAAGCACTAAATGAACGTCAAATGCTACAAATAGAAAGTAGTTATTGTGATGCATGATATGGGATGGGAACTTACTGTTTATAGTCGGCCGCGATTTTGCCGAAGTACTTTCTCCTGGTCCTGTAAACTTCGTCCGTGAAACCCTGAGAAACAAACGGATTAAACGGCTGTACGAATCACGTGCTATGTTGGCAATATATATGTATGCATAATCAGAGGTGGGCAGGATGACAGAAGATGCAGCTAGATTAATCCGGTACTGTTTCAGACTTATATAAATATATGACGGAGACGACAACCGTGAAATACAAGCGGGAATAAACTTTCGAATTCAAGCTTCTTAGCCGCTATTAGCCATACCCAGTCCCACAGTCAGTATTGAACACTTTTGTGGTTGGTTATTGCGCTTCTTGTGTTTATTTTAGGCGGGAATTTCAACTACACCGGACAAACTTCTCGATCAAACCGCTTTAATGTATGTAACTTATTGGAGAAGATTTTTGATTCGCCAAGAAGTATGCTGATTACAGGTCCTTATTGTGGAAGAGCATTCACTTCGCAAGTCAACGCAGATGGCCATGGGTGGAGAGAACTTTCCAAAAAGCACACTGCACCGAAAATAGTCCACAAAACCTATCGATTATTGA